CTATTTTGCTAAGGGCTTTCAACACTCTCCCTTTAAGACAGGAAGCTCAGCTGAAAGAGTTTTGCAAAACCCTAGCTTTTCCTTGTAAGGATTCCCCTTACCAGGTGTTGGCTCTTGTCAAATTCAGCTTGCATGAAGGATTCCCCCTCCCCTACCAAAAGCTCCTTATAAGAGATTTCCACCCCTGCTTCTAGGGGTCGAGAGACTTTGAGGTGTGAGCCTGCTCTTGGCCCAGCCAATCAATAAAGGACCCTTGCTTAATTTGGACTCAGTGTGCTGGTGCTCCTCCATTCTACTTGCGGAGGCAGAACCAATTCCGGTTCATTGCCAAAGGTGGACTTGATATGTTTTGTTTAGAAAGAATAGGAAGCAACATGGAAGAATCCATGCAATGCTTGAAAGTGGATCTTGGGTCAACTCTTACAGAGAAGAAAAAGGAATTCACTTTTTTTTCTTGAACTTTTTACATCGAAAGCAATTTGGATTACTCTACAGACTACTTTCTAGATTCTCCTGCATATGTACATAAACTGTTATGCAACAGGCAAATGGTATTAACCATATGGTAAAAAACTCCTTATACTTTTTCATCAAATCAAAAGCCTTAAGATTTGTTGTAATAATCTCTTAACATCTTCCTCAAAAGAAGATAAAGAGGCCAGGTACAGCAGCTCATAGTTGTAATCTCAGTACTTTGGGACATTAAGGATTCAGGCTACTTGAACCCAGGAGTTTGAGGCCAGTCTGGACAACATAAAGTGACTCCCATCTCTACAAAAAATGAAAAAATTACCCAAGCATGGTGATGTGCACCTACAGTTCCAGCTACTCAGGAAGCTGAGGCAGGAGATTCCTTGAGCCCAGGAGTTCAAAGTTACAATAAACTGATCCTGCCACTGCACTTTAGTTTGGGTGACAGAGCAAGAATCTGTCTCTTAAAAAAAAAAAAAGAAGAGGATTTCTGTCATCTGCCATCATTTCTCACACATCTTGGAGGTGGTACAGCTCAGACATTCAAATACATCTTTATGTGAATATGTTGCTTCTTCCTAGGACATGATTTTAACTCAATGACAGATACTTGAAAATGGAACTAAATAAAATATAAAACAAATTTCTTATGAACTTTCAAGATTTTTTAATGAAATCTGAATATTTGAGAATGAAAGGTGTTTGCTGTTTATAGCAGGTAGTTTCTGACTGTAACTTTAATCCTTTGGAGAAAATATTAAAGAACATTCAAAGTCTTTTAAAAAGCATCACTGTCTATAGAAAAACTCAAATCATTGATCTAGCCCCTATATTCACATAATTATCAAATAAAATTTTAGCCCCTATATTTTAAAATAAAAATGTCTTTTCCCTGTAAAATTTTAACTTATTTTTAGAATTTTGATTTTTAAATTGTCTATGAATAACTCATTTAATTTATTATTGACTATAAGAAAAAATACAAAAGAAAGAAAAATATATAATTTTTCTTGGTAATCATCATATATACAGAGAAATTCTTAGAATAGTAAAAAAATATGACTAGGGAAAGTAACTGGTGGGATCATACCTAAGGTGCATCTTACAAGGGTACTATGAAATTTACTAAGTGTGTGAAATTTACTAGGTGTAGTAGGTAAATGTCTTAACACAATAACTAAGAAAATGCTGTGAAGGCTATGTTAACCAGTTTGATGAGAATAGTTCAAATTGTATATAAAACCAGCACATTGTACCCCATGATCGCATTAATGTACTCAGCTATGATTTAATAAAAAAAAAAATGACTCACAGATTACTCTTAAATGTAATGTAATTTTTTTTTTTTTGAGACAGAGTCTCACTATGTCACTCTGGGTAGAGTGCTGTGGCATCACAGCTCACAGCAATCTTAAACTCTTGGGCTTAAGTGATTCTCTTGCCTCAGGCTCCAAAGTAGCTGGGACTACAGGCACCCACCACAATGCCTGGCTATTTTCTTGTTGCAGTTGTCATTGTTGTTTAGCTGGCCTGGGCTGGGTTCAAACCCACCAGCCTTGGTGCATGTGGCTGCTGCCATAACCACTGTGCTGCGGAGCCAAACCATCAAAGAATATTTTCATACCAAATATTTTTGCATATTTTCATGAGAAGGTCCTAGCTCTAGGGCTGTAGTGTGGCTAAACAGAATATGAACGTGAATCTAGAAGGACCAGGGAATCCAAGGTTCTACTGATTAAATAAGAAGGCATGTGACTGAGTGAGCAAAGTGATGTCTTTCTAAACAGCATTTGGCATTGATTCAATCACCAATCATAATGTATGTCCTTAAAGAACTTTTTCAATTGCTATTTATTTCAGTATTGTGAAAAGACAAAAAAATTCCTTAGCATATGGTTTGGTATTCTTGGGCAGTGTACCAAATTTGTCTACACTGACATTTGTTTACACTTTAGAGAACTGCTGGCTCTAAAAGTCTGAAATTCCATGTTGAAAATCTGTTTGGGGGAGTTTATCAAGAAAGTGGTAAATGATCGCACAAGGAAGGAAGAGCCACTTTTAAAGGAAGAAGTATTTACACATGGCAGCTGTGCCAACCTAGCTGCTGGGCTGCCTGCCATGCTACCCACTTGCCAAGCTCTTCACATTTACATTGTGCTTATCAGTCTCCTGAATGTGTTTCCTCTCTCTAGTCTTGTTAGCATTTTATTGGTTCGTAATCAATTACATCTCTTGCTTCGTAACAAACAAATATTGACTTTTAATGTCAAAGGCAACTGCAGAATCGCAGGCTCTCGGTACACAGTCAACATCGCTCTGCCTGGTGCCAAGCATCCCAGATTTCAAAAATCAGTTAAGTAGAACCAGAGCTGCTAGTACCCAAAAGAGTCATTAGGTGGCAGTGGTGGATAGGAATGTTGCCAATGTTTTTTTGGCAGTCTAGGAGACAGCCAGCTGGTCCTTGTAGGAGGTGCTAATGCTACAGGTTGTGGGTATTTTGCTGTTCACAGAAGGGAATATGAGGTAGGACTGTGCCTTAGAGTGTCTTTCCAAACTCTCTGATTTAGATATTAAGACCAAGGCCATCGCACTAGATACAAGTGTCAAAGCAAAAGACACAAACTCAGGACTATCCTGAGGACTATCCTACTTCATGAGGATATCACAAAATACTTACCTGCTATCAGGTTTCATAGAAGCTATTTTCAAGCATGCCATTACCCACGTGATTTTGGACAAATAAATAACTACTTGGCAGTGTTTCCTACTGATAAAGGGCCCATATTATTCACTTAAAACCACAGTGCTTGTTTCATAATAAACCCTCAATATTTTTTAAATGATTGATTTCATTTTTCTTCTCTAAGCCTAAGTTTGTTCATTTATAGAATGAGGGGGTTTACAGTTCTTTTTTTTTTGGAGACAGAGTCTCACTTGTCACCTTGGGTAGAGCGCTGTGGAGTCACAGCTCAAAGCAACTTCCAACTCCTGGGCTTAAGCGATTCTCTTGCCTCAGCCTCCCAAGTAGCTAGGACTACAGGTGCCCACCACAATACCCAGCTATTTTTGTTGTTGTTGTTGCTGTTGCCATTGTTGTTTAGCTGGCCCAGGCTCAGTTCAAACCGCCAGCCTCAGCCTATGTGGCCGATGCTGTATACAGGTGCTGAGCCGTTTGCTAGTTCTAAAAGTCTGAAATTCCATGGTTTTCGTTAAATGTAATAGAGTTTGTTAGCTTCACTAACAAAAGGCCAGTGACCTTGGAGTTATGGAGGTTATCTGGAGAGGTAGAAAGGTACTTTTGTATCTGATTTGCAGAATTTGCACATTCCTTTTGTAACAACAAGATTGTCTCAGGTTTACTGTAATCTTGACTCCCTAAGACATCCAGAAACCAAATTCCAGCAAGCACACACCATAACCATCAATGTCTAACATCTGCTCCCCCACTCACAATTTTCTCACTTACATATTCAGTTCTAAACTTCCCCAAAAGCAAGGTAACAAGGAATCAGGAGAAAACCAGCAAGAGACAGATTTGGAGTAAGAGAATTTGCCAAGGGCACAAAGCCTCATATCCAGTGGTAAAAGTCATATAGACGTGTGGTTCTATAGCCAAACATGTAACTGTCAGACAGATCTTTTTAGTGGAATTTGTCTCAACTGTTCTTTAGATTAACTTTATCTTCTGTCTCAAATTAATCTGTTTGTCTTCACAAGAATTAATATTTTCTTCCTCTCTTCACAGGCAATGTTCTGTATTTAACAGATCCATCAAGTTTTATCCACAAGGGGGGTTAACTTGACAGTTTATGATGAGTAAGGTTATCATTTTCTTGAGTATGGCTTCACACTTCTACACATTCTAGGGCAAAATCTCTCAAAGGGAAAGCAGAACATTCAGGGCATATTCCTTCCTCTATTTCTTTTCCTTCTTTTCTCCCTTCAACCTACCAGGGTGACTTCTTTTTGATTTGGAGATGTGTTCTACCTTGTTTTTAAAGAGCATCCGAAACTTCCAAAAAAAGAGATTAGCCGGGAAGTTTAGAAGGAAACAGTGCTAAAAACATACTTTCTGTTTTTATGTTAAGTATACTTCTGTTAAGTATGCTTGTAAACATACTTAACAAAATTTTCCTCTAGTTCTCTTAATAATTCTTTTTTTTTTTTTTTGGAGACAGAGTCTCCATATAAATTGCCGGTAATGGGGGCAGGGAGCCCTCCAGATGCCTTTCGGCAAATGGCTTCCTCAACCAAATCTTTAGGGATTTCATCACTATTTAGAAATCTCTACTAAACCTCCACTTGCCTCTAGTCTTAATAATTTCCCTTTATCCACATATAGGCTATCCCAAAACAAACCTGTTTGCATTTTAAGCCTTAGAATCTGATGTTTTCTTTTTAAGTCACAAGCTTGAGCCCAGAGGCTTGGGGGGGAGGGCGGAATAATTTTGTTGAAATGGATGGATGACTAGAAATAATACATATATAAACAAACAGAACAATAGATCACCCAGGAGAAAGAATCTTACAAAAATCTGGCTGTTTCAGTCAACTGAAGGTGGGTTCCAGCTGTTTGTTCCTGGAGATGGGTCCCAGCTGTGTGAGCCTGCAGGCCCCTCCTGGTTCTGATTATATAGTGCTCATACAAAGGGGTGGAGAGAACAGATCTAAGGTTACCCAAACCTGGCAAAGACATGAAAACCAAGGACATTCCTCTTGAACAAACGAAGAGGAGAGCCATTTACCTTTCCCCTGGGCATGATAGGGTTAAATATTAACCCACCTAAACGGATTAGGAATTTGTCCGGGGAGGAACAGTGTGATAAACATGGCCTTTGTCCCACAGCTATCTTTATCTGAGGTCTGTGGTTCTTACTCTTGCCAATGAGAGCACTGAGGTTTCATTGTTCACAAACAGTAGTATGGATCCATAAGATACCATCTGGGATCTTATCAACTCAGAGAACTGCCTTGGAAGAAGTGACAGAGTCCGCTACGGTCTTCTTTTTCACTCTACTTTCTATGTATCCACATAATTTGGATATTACGCAAGTTCCATAGATTTCACAGAACCGCAAAAAGCACTTTGAGAGGTTATGTGACAACTATTAGTACCCTGCCCCCTTACCTCAACCTCCCAGTAATATCCTTGCCATGTTTTCTGGACTTCTTCCTTTCATCTTTACCTGTCTTCAAGAGACTAACCCTGAACACTCAATCTTCTTTCCCTTGAAACACAGTTGCCAAAGAGATTATCTTCACCATTAATGCAATGCTCATATTGCATCCACTCCCAAAGTAGATTCGTACTTTGTGCAGAAACAGTGGGCCAAAGGGCATCAGGATCATTTTTATGGATTCTACAGTTTAGAATATTAGGCAGAAGCAGGATATTAACTATTTCACAGACCCTCTCCCCCAGCACTCACCTACTGGGTGGTTAGATCTCGAATACTATTATCTTTTTAAAATCCTCAATACTCTGATGTCATCTACCCACCTCCAAGTATTCAATCTGCCTGCATTTGAGGTGCCAACTAAAAACATGCTTCCTGCTACTAAAACAAATGCACTTGAAATCATCATAATATTATAATCAGTGTTACCTTTAATTCCAGGAAGCTCTCATATACTTGATCCCATTTAATTGTCTCCAGACTGTGTGAGATGGGTAGTATGTAAGCCTGTTATACGTCTGAGGAAACTTCAAGATCAAACAGCAAATCAATGATGGAGTCAGACTTCAAACCCTCCGTGTTCAGAGGGATAATCTGCTCATCTTTTCAGACTCAGTTCTAGCAATGCTTCCTCTGAGTCCCAACTGACCCTCCTCAATCCTATCCAATCCCTGGAAGAGTTGCTCACGGCTATGTCTTCATTTTTGAGGTATTGGTCCCCTCTCCAAAGCAAAAATCCCTAGGAGAGTAAATTCTTTAAACAGCTATCAGGAATTTACACATCCTTGGGCATATGCTTCAGGCCTGTCTGAAAAACAGTTTTTGGTAACTGGAAGGGACTACTGAACTTGAGGAAGAAAAGTAGGCAACATGGGGAACCTGGAAAAGGACAAACTTTATCGACTTTTTAGCTTTATTGGGGCACAGCCCTGCCTGACCTTCATTTTTCCTTCTTTCTCTTCCCTTCTCTCTGTATTTCCAACCAAATCCTGAGCTAGAAGGACAAAAGTTGGCAAACTGCCATAAATTGCTTTTACCTGATACCAAGTGTCTCTGGAAAGAAAGGGACAGGCACGTCTTTGATCAGTACTGTCAAATGTCAAAGTTTTTTCTGTCAAATGCCACAGTTCAAAGTTTTTTAAGAAAAGAAGTAATGAGATTGAGGCCCACAGAGCGGACACTCTACTGGCATGTGATAGAGTACCCAAAGGCTTAATTTCATTTCATGGGCAAATATATCATTTGCAAGTGGTACCTGTTTTAAATTAATCACATGTCACTTTTTAAGCAGACACTGAAGAACTGAGTTCTAAAAAGTTATTAACCACTTATTTGTTAGGGAGACCTGCCAGGTTCATTGCAACACCCCTATTGCATCAGCAGGCCCTGATGGACACAACAGCCAGCCTATTATGACTTGATCAACATGATCCTTCTCTGATACATTGCCTCAGAGCAGTGAAAAGGTACTTTACCTTAACACACACACAGTGTATCATGGCCCAAAACACCAATTCAAGCACCAACTTGTACAAACAGAACAGCCTCTGATTTTAGAGTTAGGCAGTCCTGCTGGAGGGTAGCCCGAAGCCTCTGAACATAGTCAGGGCCTTCCTCTGCTTCTGGGTGTTTTTCCATCCTGTCTGCCAAACTATAGTTTTTCTCTGCACTAGTAGAGTGCTTTCTTTTATATGAGACAGGTCGCTGACTTCTCCTGACTCCATGAGAACATAGACTAAGAGAGGGAAGGGGCCTCTGAGACCATCTTTGGATCCCTCATTTTACAGATGATAACCGAGGAACAGAGAGACGTGCATTACCTAAAGAACATATCAGGTTCCTAGAACTAGAAGCTTTCCAATGCATCACACGACTTTTATATTCAATACTAGTAATTTCTAGAAAATCAAAGCTAATTTTGAAGGTGCCAATGAAAGTTGCTGTTTAAAGGAAACCCACACTGAATATTTCCACAAATTCCAAAAATATTTTATTCCCCCTTTCATTGGTAAAAGAGTTGCTTAAAGTGAAGTTGTTAGGATATGCATTTGTATGGAGGCAGAGAAAGATTTCCTTATGCAAAGATTAGGTCATATAGAAGTTAAAAAACTTTGTTTTCTTATAAAGAGACAGATAGGGAGAGAGAGAAAAGGGGTGGGGAGAGAAGAAAAGAAAGAAAAGGTAGAAAGAAAAGGAAAAAAGAGAGAGAAAGAGAAGAATGGATATGATGCAACACTGAAAGCAGGGGAAGGGGGAGCGCTAAGCACAAGCAGCTTGCCACTTGTATGGAGACCACAAAAAAGGAAAAAAAGTAGTGATTATTGTCAGTTGACAATATAGGTAACTGGGTTTTTTGTGTTTTGTTTGTTTTTTTTCTGTTCTTGGAGACTTATTTACTTTCCAGTTCTGGAAAAAGTGGTCTGGCAAATACAGGGTGGCCATAAAGTTCGTGTGCAATCTAAAATAGTGTGCAATTTTAAGTTGCACACAAACTTTATGGACGTCTTCTATAAGAAAAGTCCTTTTGTCTGCTAAGTTCCTTTCAATTGCTGTGTAGACATCTCTACAGGATATAAAAAAATCTTAAAAGATAGGTGATTCATCTCAAAAACAGCTTTAGAACCAAGTTAAGGTTAACGTTCCCTGTAGTCAATCTTGGAGACAGCAAATTAGATAATTATTTTCCCTTCCCTTATTACATAATTCCTTAACAAAGCCGTCCCTTCCGAAGTGTTTGTAACAAACTTATCTTTCTTCACTTACTAGTTAGTAGCTCTGTTAGTAGCTGTTTGAGTACCTGAGGCTGCGTCTGGGAGGTTGGCTGTGTGCTGTTCAGATAATTATGTTGCTTGGATTTCTAGTGATGACATTTATGACTTGATTATAAGATTCAAAGAGGGAGAGTCTTAGTTCATCTGAGATTTCCCTAGCCCCCCGAGTATAGATGAAATTGTTTTTACTGGCCTTCCTAAATAAAGACGAAAGCTACTCATGGGCTTACCCGTGTGCTGTTATCATTTGATGTGCTGCCATACAGAGAAAAAACTGAGGATCCCAACCTCCCAGGAAGAAGGTTAGAGAAGAGGGCGTTGGCAAGTGTCTCCAAGAATTTCGCAACACTGGCTGGCTGATTAAGGGTGGGGAGACAGAGGAGAGTAAACAGAAAACATCTGTCCCCAAAGGTTAGTTACGCTTGCAAAAATGGGACAAAGCCTGCTTCACAAATTTGATCAGCCTGGGTACCAAGCAAAGTCTCCTTAGCTGTGGGAAAGTGCAGGCTTCCCCGGACCGTCCTCTGATTCTCTGATCCTGTGGTCCACAGTGAGCCAGTAGGCATTCCCACGGGCATCACTGCCCAGCTGCGGAAGGTAATGCTGAACACTAACTGGTACACAGACTGGACTTTTAGCTCTCTCTCCACTCCTCCTCCCCAGTCTGGTCCCACAAACGCCGCACTGCATCTGCCAGGATGGGCTCCCGGGGCAAAACGCTCCAAACGAAGAAGCTACCCAGCAGGAAGAAGAGTAGAATGGGGACCCACCTCGGCCTCGGGACTAGGCGGCAGGAACAAGGCGGAGCCGTGGAAAGTTTTGTTTCTCACCAGCTTCTTGCTCCCAGGCACGATCGATGATGGGGAGCTGGTAGATGGCCTTCAGAATCTTGCTTTGGATCTGCTTGGGGTCGGCGTGCGTGCGTGTGCGTGGCGTGTAGTGTATGTGTGGTTGTGGGTACGCGCGCGAACCGGACAGGGGTGGCGGTGAGGAGAGGAGCGTCAGTGGGCGAGCCTCTGGGTAGCTGGGGCCGCGCCCCATTTCTTCGTGGAGGCTACTAGAATCTGGACCCGCCTCCCGAGCAGGCGCCCCAGCAGCCTCCGCCCAAGGTGCAGGGGGCCCATCCCGCGCACGCCGCGCGCCTCGGCGCCGCGCTCCTGCCACAGCTGAACCCAAAGGTGAGGGTGAGCGGCGACTAGGACACCGCCTCCAGGGTGAGCAGGCCGCCAGAAACCGGCCGGGCTCGGAAGAGCGCGGCAGCCGCTCGCGGGGTGCCTAGGAACCTAGGGAGTTGGCGAGCAGACTCTGGTCCCTGGCCCCGTCTGCCACGTGCTCGTTCACTGCAGTTCTTAGGCGAGACAGTCCAAACTCAAGAAAGTTTGCACAGAACTTTTTTTCAGTAATTGACGAGGGGGAAAAAATATTCAAAATGCTAGAGGGCTCGTCCGGGATTTGAACCCGGGACCTCTCGCACCCAAAGCGAGAATCATACCCCTAGACCAACGAGCCACGGTGATGGAAACGTCCCTTTTGTTTCCTATGACTGAAGCTTCCGGCTACGAGTTGGCCGCTGGGCTACTCCAGGATATTACTTTTCCTGTTGCGACAGTTCTTTTTTATTTTTAACATCTTTACCAAATTTCACATCTGTCTCTGACTCAAGACTTT